CTCGTGACCCCTCAAACCATCCCCATTAGCAGGGTGGAAAAGCTCTTGGGGACTGATATTGACTCTGTGTTTTCTTTGATTTTACCGGTTGATCCATATACGCTGGAAGTGATCAGTAAATCACGGAAAGGAACCAGCTTCAAAAAACACAGATGTTGCAGACAGCAGGTCAGGTTCACTTAACAACCAATCCTGTGAAGTTGAGGGCTAGCTCTGATGGCTATCAGAACTTGGTTATAAAACTATGGGAAAAGTATCAGAGCCAACAGGGTTCAGACATTCATTAGCAACCTAATCGTTTGATTACAACTAATTGTTACTAGTACTGGCAGAAATTAATCTCACCGCTCCAGGATAATAAATCCTTTTTCCCAATGGGTCAAAATCCACCGTACCGTCTAAGTTTAGCACATAACACCAAACAAAGGTGATCGTGATCCTCCTTATTAGGAATAGCAACTTTGCAACTTCCAATTTAACTTTAACTATTATCGTGCTTCTATTGAATAAGGTTATTTTGTCGTCATTGGCGTAGACCCAACGAACGGAATTGCATACCTGGACAATCCAAACATGCCGCAGCATCGAAGAGAAAAAGCTGAAAGAATGACAGGATTTTGGAAAATTTTGTTCGTAACGGATATAGACGCATCTTGGTCAGACGGATTCTCAACGGACGAAGGAAAAGAGCAGTAGAATGAAGGCCAAAAATGAGACAAATTTGGTCATATGCTGGATGCGTTTCAGAAATCATATCGAGATTACCGTGAAACTAGGGGATAAAAGGCAGCAGTAAATCAATTGCCTTTCCAAGTAGAATTTCTATGAAGTTGCAAGAAAAACCCTTCGAGTAATAAAAGGGTAAAATTATCCTTACTACGTACCGCAATTACGGACTGGAAAACTACTGATTCCCACTTACTTCATTCTACCAACATCAAGAATTACGTGAATTCGATTTCGGGTAGCTGAAAAGCATTGACTAAATTAAGAAATTAATTAAGACTTATCATTACTAGAAAAACTTGGTAAAGAAGCACATGAAATTGGGTCGTATTACCCGTCGTTGCGGGTCCCGAATCAAATGATGCATAGAAGTTAAGCCACTTCCTGACCAGATATCAGACATGGGGATCATTCAATACGAAACACAACTGCTGCCGGCTAGCTAGCAGAATAATGAAGGTCAGCACCGAGTCAAGGCCTACAAACATGGGCACTGAAGAAGTCACCTGGACAAGTTGGTCTTATTTACGATGAGATCATGTTGTAATTAGCCCTCGGAAATTCGGAATGTACAAAGATATCCTGCTCAATAAAACAAAGAAGTTCATAGTTCATGAGCAATCACCAAAGCACACTCCATCCTCTCTCCAGCGTTGGGATTAGTCGCAAGATAGGGGACGCACGGCGGTAACAATATTGTGCTTATTGTAATAGTTCTAATAGTATTAATCGTGTCATTTTTCTTGCGAATCTCATTGAAATAACGAGTTTCTTGGACCATAATTTTTGACTTCAGAGTTAACCAGATGCAGTCACCTCCGTATTTTGTCAAACACACGATTGACAACTCAAACAGAAGAAAAATCCGCTTATTTAGCATTTATCTAAAAACAAAACAGAAAACCCACAATAACACATAAAACAAATATCAATAGCTTGAACAAGAAGAACAACACACCCATCATCACATGAGCTGTCTTTACCTAGGTTCCAAAAGCGCAAATCAGGAAGTTGGGGTAGGGAGAAAGCTGGATACAAACACAGTAGACAAGTCAAGAGAGCAAAGAACAAAATTATCATGACAATGGATAATTAGAACACATGACAGTTTTCATTGTACAAACAAACAAACAAACAAACAACAAATTAATGCATGACAATACAGTTACATCGGGCGCAATCGAGACATAACAACTGACTAGATCGAGGTGACATTGGGCCGCGATCGTGTACTCCGAGTGCCACGAAATGAACTACTCTCGGTGGACAAATAACTGGTCAACTGGCGCAGTTTTCGTCTGGCTTTCGGATTCGTGAAAGAGAGCAATGCAACCAGTAGACCTTGTCCGGTACTAAGCAGCCCAGTGAAGTAGTAGAGTAGCGGCACTCCGGGAATCACATTAGCCATCAACTGCACTAACCAGACCGCACCAAGTATGGTTGACAAATGAGCACAGATACGGGTGAACGTGATTAGCTTTTTCCGTCGACTATTCACCAGCGCTGATCCATCGGCATTTTTCTCGGTCAATTTCGGTTCTTGAAACTGTGGCATTTTGCTCATTTGCCAAATTTGCACACCTATAATCGCACTGATCAGGCTACTGAAACCGAGTAGTACGACGGTGGGGATCAGGAACCAGGTCAGTGCACCGATTCGATTGGTGAACCAGACACGGGTTGGATCGTTCAGCGGACAGAATCCAGGATGAAGAAAGCGAAGACCGGCCGTGCACGGATCATCACTACTCGAACGTGCGGTTGCCAAACCCGGTTGAGCGCACTCGTCCATAAAATACTGTTCATTAATGATGGCGGCCGGAATGACGATAATCAGCGGTAAACATGTGGGTATAATCGCACGACGGAGAAAACTTCGGTAACCCGTTGATCGTTGTGTGCTGGGATGTTGCAAAATGGTCTCCTTATGAACGGGTTAGGTGGAGAAAGAGAGAGGCGGGAAGGGAGAAGATAGACAAATAACAACAGAGTCATGCGGTGGATCAAGATAAACAAAAAAAAGGAAGCATATAGTGTTTAACTTGAATTCTGCCAACGAGTAACAACCAGGGAAAACAATTGCCGAAGGGAATGGTTTACAATGGATACGAACGCGGAAGGAGGTTGATTTAGAACACAAAACTCCGTATTCCAATAGAACCTTGATCACGACATCCAGAAAGAGATAGTCTTTACTCGCCTTCTGATTTACACCATTACTGGAACTAATAATGATTACCCAACCCAGATGCTTACACGTTTGCATGAGTCAGACTTGATGTATTTACACCAACAGTCGCATTTTGGAAGCAGCCTGTTTCGTACAGAGCAATTCACCTGAGTAGTTCTGTTTGACTCGTAGTCAATACAGCAACTGATAGTGCGAAGGTCAATGTCTGATAGTCAATGCAGTCAATTGGAAAATTAGCTGATCAAATTGAAGCAGGTTCCGTGATCGCGCGTGTGTGTGACGATTGTGTGCAATGAGTTCTCAGCGATGCATCATAATAGATCGGTATGACAGGACCGAGAATTTGCCCAATTTAGTTGGTACACCCATACGCTCAAAGTGGTATCCATCGAATGTGTTGCTTAGGCGTAAAGGATTTCGGTTTAAGGTTTGAATTCCGACAGGGATGTAAAAGTAGCTCGAACTAAGGATATATCCCGACGAAGGAACAGCTGCCCCAAGCTCTTTTTGTTCGGTTTTCACATACAAAATGAACACCACTTTGATTGTTTAAGATCAGCAGGGTTGATCCGAACTTCAAAAGTGATGGGGTTTACGTATTAAAATTAATAAGCCTACTTCGATTTCTGCATATTCACATAGACTAAACAAAGACATTAATTCAATAATCAAGCTGCTTTGAAATCCCGTATACAGCTGACGATAAAGAAGATACTTTCGAAAAAGGATGCTGACACAATGACGTGAATCAATCGCCCAATCGCGATCTGGATCTTTCCTGCAATCACTCCCCCTAAAAAAGTAGTCCAGGCAAACCTCCAAACACGTTTCGATTGAACGGGAATATTGACAAACAGCACAGACTCACAGGAGTTGCCAGCGTTGTATTTTGGGACTTATGTATTGACGGACATTATCATAACCGAAGTCGATGGAAAAGGGACAAATCGAGTCTCCGTTGGATACAACATCGTGCATAAATTACGATATCCTATGCGTGATAGATCCCACTGAAAACACAAATCCGTTGCTAGACTCATCTAGCAGTGTTTTCTCCAAATGTTGTGTTTACCCTCTAAAGAGAAAGGGAAAATAATAGCTCTGGGCGAACAAAGGTTTTCCGTCATTTCTATTCCAAACCGTTACAATCACATTTGGATGAGAACAAAATTACACGAATAGTTGAAAAATTTCTTTTGCATTTAATTTGAACAGTAAAGCGTGGGAAGGGAGATAGGTGGGATATCTTCATTGTGAAACAATCGAGTAGAAGTTTGAATCATGTAATAATGACAAAAAGTTTGTGCCACCTCAATGCTAGTTGGGAAAACAGTTGACTGTCGGCCAGAAAAGTTGAAATGCCTGGACTAATTCTTACTGTATGCAGGGGTTCGGTCTGGAGTGGAAGATGGCGGTTTTATTGGCAATTGCTAAAGGAAACCAATCCATAGCTTGTTTGGAAGTATTCCTACGCAGGCTGAGGGACTGATCTGTTTTGTTATCTGTCTCGTCGAACAACTTCAATTATGTAAAATNCTGCTCGGCAGAACGGTGCAAATTGATGCATATTGAATAGGTGAAGCACGGGGGGAAAGTTCTCATGTGTTCATTTGCCCCGTGAATATGCCTAAGAGGAAAACAATCAGCGAAGATGGCCAGATGCAGCCAACAGGACATTCTATACTGTACAACTTCAAGTACGATTCATTTAGAAACGGAAGGACTCAGTGTTAGATTTTGCATCATCTGAGACGTACTCATTACCTTGTTTCCGTGGGGTTATGTATCCAGGCTCTCGTCCGAGGGTGTCCATGATCACAATCTGGCTTAGTTGAACTACAGTGCAACGCGGTAAACTAAGGGGTGCGGTGTGTTCTCGTCGTGTGGAGTCTAACCACCACTCTGTTGATATGATAGACGCTTTTCGCCCCAATCCACCAAGTGTAGCGTCCTTGCCTCAGGCGAAGCCACAAGCAATCACCTCATTGTGTGGTCAGAAATGATTATTACAGGCGTTTGGTATCCTTCAATCTACTTTCTGTTCCCCGAAAAAGTGTGCGATCACTTCAACCTTTGGACATTAGGGTCAACTTCACACGCAAACCCACCCACCTCCACACATAAGCTTTTTGGAGGAAAACTTGAGCTAGTAGTAAACCGTTCTCCCCTTTTCAGCGTTGTGATGTTCTGTAGTTGTATTTTGTTTTGTGGAAGCCGGGGGGGCAGGGGGTATTGAAAAAGATTCGTGATCGAAATCGTTTGAGTTTTATGACAATTTGAAGTGGCATGATGAATCCCTTTTAAATCATCTCATCTATCACAATTCAAGTAACAATGACACAGTTGAAAATTGTTCATGTACACAAAGTGCCTTGGTAGATGAAAAATGAACCCCTTTTTCATTGATAGGCGCGTGAATTAGTTGTCAGAAATTGTTCGCGAAATCGTCCATCATCAGCTTTGATTTGCCAAATAGTTCCTCAATAAAAGACACCAGTAAACAATCATAAATTCAATCAGATTTTCATTTACAGCTGATGAAATCATGTCACTGAAAACGGAACAAATTGATGATCTGGAGATAATGCGCGCCGAGACACATTGTTTGTCATATTACTTCCTCCCGTGTCTCTTCCCGCTCCTGTTCCCTTCCACTGCAACCGGTTCGGATCTTGTTCTGCACAATGGTAACACGCAAATCTATTCGTTTGTCCAAAACAATTGCGGCTAAATATTTGTAGAACGAAAAACTCATTCCCGGGTCACGCACCTTACCAGGTAAACTAAAATAATATAAGCTTGGATTTATCAATTGTCAAGCACCACATTTGCTTCGAGTTTTAAGCTTGGATTAGCCCATTCGATTGTTCAGAGGCACCAGGCACTCTTGATGGTCTTAGGTGTGGGTTTCACTGCTGACAAGTCCTAAACAGGACGAAACAGCTGTCCAGTGCTCTTTGTCGGTCATCAAAAACGTTTCCATCGCATTTGGACATCATATGTGTTACTTACATTTCAATGAATCAATCTCCAACCACTGAGCACTCAAAGTGAGTTTACTGTTAGGTTTCCGACGTCAAAAAACGTCATTTGACTTTCCGTTACGCAATAGCTGTAAATGATTATGGCTGATCATCCCTCTGTGCTCATCGGCATGAGCGATCCTCACTTCATCCAGTTAAGTACTTCACTCGAGTTTTACTCTCGTTAGAGCTGAGCAATAATGCATATTCACTGTCCTACCGGGGAGTTGAACTCTTGAATCTCACGAGAATCGCTATTCTGTGCGACTTTTGTGCAACTTTTGCAAACTACGGCTGATCAGAGGTCTGCGATAACAATCAGTTTATTTGGCTCGACCGCAACAAAAGATGCCACTGTTCACACACTCTTTCTCTGTTAATTCCAGTCGAAATCTTTCTAAGAAATCAGCCGTTCCTTGTGAATATCGGACAAATCGGCTTTTGTTAGCAACCTACACAAGATTCAACTCATTTTTCACTCGTAGTTACTTGTGATTAATGGTGTCACATTAGTTCTATTGGTTTGAACAAACACCAATCGCTAATTCCGGACCCCTACATTTATTGTGAGGGATATAGAACTTTCCCAAACCCCAAAATGCCAATGAATGTGAACAACCTGTCAGTTCGAAAATGAGTGGAGAATCTGAATCTACGACTGTCCAGTTAGTTATATGCTTGATTGGACGATTTTGCGTGTGATAAGATTCTAAAGGATGTTCAGATGAAATTTTAAAAAAACAGAACGGATTTTCTTAAAATTTATCGAAATTCGTTTTTGGTTGCCTGGTATGCACCAATCTCTCCTCATTAATTGGGTACTCAGGAGGCGGTTACAATTTCGAATTTTAATTATCGTATTTCACAATTTTAGTTAATATATTTTTATGCTGGAAGGCCATTGTTCGTCTTGAGTGGTGGGCTGTCAAATGAGATGGGGATTGTAGTCGATTCTGACAAAATCAGGAGTCTAATCTGCAATCCAACAAGCAAAAGCTCAAGCCCAACTCACCTCCTACAGTTTCATTCCTGGTATCATAATAAAGACAAAACTGTCGATTAGGTTTCGTTGTTTTTGGTCGTCTTACTTTCCCGCAGTGGTTTATTGCTTTTGGTCATTCACATCAAACCTAATACTTGAACAAAAGTTGCTGAACTGAAAACCTAATGATTCACAAAGTTGAGCCTTCTAAGGCAAACTGAGCTCAAATTTAATTTCATCACTGACTGATACACTTACTTTGAAAATGTTCATCTGAGTGCTGTCATTTTTTCGAAGACACGATTTGAAACAACCGGCAATCAGATTCAAAGTGATGCGTACGCCACCGAACGTGTACAACAGTGTCACCCCAAATGCAGCCATCCAAAGGAAACTGGCCAAAAAGAAATAATGCATGAGAACCGCAAATGTCATACAGATCAGGTGATTGGTTTGATCTGTGGCGGGACCGGTCCAGAGCAGATGAGGCAGGACAAGAGTGAATAGAAATGTGCTTAACAGTCCGAACAATGCCATGGACAATCCGATAGTCAACTGACCAGATGCATGTGTGCGAAGTTCGGCCGTAACAATGTAAATGATGACCAGTAATAGAAGTGACAGGGCAGACATGATGCACAACACCAGCTGAGATATGTCCATAGCCAACTCTGTTCGTGGATCCAAACTGGAGACCGGACGATCGGAATCAGTGTGTTTGTCCTCTGCACTCAGTGTGAGATCGGGGAGCACAAGAAACTCATGCCACTTAAAAGTGGTCAAACTGAAAATTGGCTGTGTTTTATCTTCCTCGTAGTTCGATATCGAAACATTCTCACAAGGTCGTTGAAATGCACGCGGAAGATAGGTAGTTGCGTAGCACAAGCGATCACCGAAACTGTATGTGCGACAACGGATTTGTACGGGAAAAGCATTAATAGTCTGCGCGGAAGTCACTATTTCACCCATAGTTGCGTTTGGTGAAATAAGAACCTCCCCATGACAATAAGCACAATCTACATTCGCATAAACTCGACCCGTGAGACGAGCCACAACTGGAGACATGGATCGCACATCGGCTTTACGAATTCGAAAACTGGACGAGGTTAGTTGAATTGCAATCAGCTGGTTTTCTTCTTCTTTGCGCTGTGAATAGACCCGACGAGGGACATCGAGAAATGACATTTTACGAGTCACCGAGCGCTCACATCTTTCCATCAGTTCGGAAGAACTAGTTTGGGGACAGGTCGCGATCGCCTGGAACCAATGACCGTATTTTTCCAGATCATCATCATCCGCAAATGTACGGGAAGTATGTACACACGAATATGGGAACGGTTCCGGAAGGTGGGTCAGACGTTCCTTAGCCGGTGTACAGCAGTCTCCGTTTGAATGACACTGAGCGTCACAAAAGCAATCGGATTTGTTTTGCCAACATTCGGTCCAGTTTGATGCGATTAGGCCAACTGGATTTGTACGACCTTGGTCACTCTTCTGATTGTTGAATAACAGTTCACCATGCACAAGCGAAACAAGGAGTACAATTTTCACCAAAATATGCGCTAGTGACACAGTTTGATTCATCTGTGTATGTGATTTGTCCAGACAAATGCTCGCGATGAAGACAGAACCCAAAAAGCTTTTATAAACCAGTAAAATGAGTCGAATGAAACTTGTCCAATCGGATTCAAGAACGAAGTGGCCAATCGCAGTTCGGATTTTTTTTGATAAACTGTGATTTTGGGGAATATATTTGTTTTTCAGTAATTGCCAAGAAACGATAAGTTAATATTTCGCTACTCACTATATGCCTGTTACCATGGAGTTAAAAGATGTGTGCACAAACTTGATGAAATAGTTCCCGGTAGATTTTCTGTATTACGGTCTATTCCACCTTAACTGAATTAAATAGGTGAGCTCCGACGAGAGAGGATTGCGGAACTGAGCTTATTTCAGGGAATAAGTGCAGGAGTACAGCAGATTTTGGAGCAATTCAGGCTTAAGGGTTTGAGGTCCTAACCCGAAAGTTCGCGTTTCGAGTCCTGACAGGGACACAAAATGTACGCACTGCTGACGAGTCCGAAACAGAATGAAACAGCTGTCCAGTACTCTTTGTCGGTTATAACAAACATTTCCATCGCATGCAAATACAGTAGATATTCAGAACAGACCTGCGTTTGACGAACTCATACATAAAGTGATGGTTATCACATCGGTTGACATTAACTTACCGAACTGTTATGTGAATAGTGCTTGAAAGCGACAAGCAAGTGAACAAATTGGAATACGTAAATTTTGTAAACAATTATCACAAGTTCCTCTTCTTCTGTCGGAAGCTGCACAGTGCAATCAGTAATATCGGGACACATTAATGATAATATTTTGAAATACACACATCTGAATTTTATTTCTCTGGAGTAGGTAGGAGGGGATAGCTTTGACGCAACACCTAGACGGAAGTTCATTGATCTATTCGCCGATTAAAAAAAAAGATCTCTGTGAAAAAATTCTAGGGAAATTCAATTCTGTGACTGAGAATTATTGGCTGCAGTGAAAATTGGAAAATGTACCTTACTCAGATTATTCTCAAAACACATTTACTTTCAGGTTTACTTACTATGTATTACTGATGAAATAACATTTGCACTTGACATATCGACATTGCAATTAAATAGCGATATCAGTGGTATTGGTAATAATCGTCACTTAAGTGAAGCATTTGGCAAACCCGTCAATCGCGTACTTTCAAAACAGAGTCTCGTTTGTCGATTGCATCACGATCGAAAGAAGACATCAGTCACAAAAATGTTTACATTGTGTTCCCCTTGCACAATTAGTGACAAAAAACAAGCAAATACATTCATAGCACATACTGAGTTGGTTAACCCCGGTGAATGAGCGAATGCGCCCAGATAGTCAGGGATTCCGAAGAATTAAAAGGTGCACGAAATAATAATGCAATCGCGCTACTAAAGCTTCACCAATCGAGAAGAGTATTGTATTGTTGTTACCTAATGGCGGTTTGAATCAGGAAGCAGAATGAGCTATGTGTCTGGTTGTCGTAATACGTTTTGCAGTTAGTAACTCCGACCTCCTTATGACCGCCAGAATTTCTGATATGGCCTGCGGTCTGGACTAAACCAAACGCCTTGAAATGTATTCGTCAATTTATAGTGTTAGCTGACGGTTCGTTCTATTTGTGTATGCCTGTCTGCAACTGGAGATGAACTGGTACACCGTATGTGAGGTTAACCTGGCTGCTCGACCATGTTCACGCTCGTTGCGATCCACCACAAGAGAGGAGGCAATAACTTTTATTTAAGAAAATGAAAAGGTGCGGTCTACAGATGACTTTGGTTTTTGACCGGTATCTTTCGAACAACAGTCACCTTTGAAGAATAGCTCGGGATCGGTATTCTTTATTAGTTGGGATAAGTTGCTTTTTGAGATTTTTTACTATGAATCTTTCTGGGTAACCGCGAGTGGGGTGCATATTTCACCACCCTTGCCTTATTTCACACATTTTAATTTTGTTTAGGAAGCCGATAACTGATCATCGGCCTTTCCCTAAAAGCAGATTGAAGATTGATGTGTGAAATAATAATAAATTGTAACTTATGGTTACTGTAGGTATTGAATCACAGCTTGATAATTAGTATGTCACCAACAACAAATAGTACTTTACTCTTATGTCATTAGGTAAACGGNTTATGTCATTAGGTAAACGGTTTTACAATTGAAATGCAGAACGTGGATTTCGGCCCAGAAAATACTGCATGGAGATAAGAAACTTTAGGGAAATTTGAGTACCACTGATGAAATCTGAACATATGATCTCCGGGTTGGTCTGTTGATGACCTAAATAACTTCCGCAACATGGTTCACTAAAGAATGGATCATATTGATTGTTGAAAATCAAATGAAACAATCAATCAGTCGAGAACAGAATTTATTACATTCCTAATTGATGAAATGTTAACTTTGACAAGGTTGGTGTTCGGACGACTCAATGCTATTATACAGTCCTGATTGTTAACCTAATGGTGAATGAATAGGAACTCAAGCCCCCCCCCCCAAAAAAAAAAGCACCATTATGTCACTTAAAACCACGAGTACTACTGAGTTGCGTGTGAAATCGATCACAATAGGGGGCCAGGTTATTCACCCCTAAACTTTGATCGAACTCAACTTCCCTGCGTGTATCTTATAGACTATAATCAATAGATACAACCATCCATTCCTCAAAAATGCCTGAATTTGGAACCTCTCAGTAGACCAAAGTAGGTCAGTAAATTTCTCGTTTTATCACTATAAGTCTCACTATCCTCGACAATGATTTACTTAATACTAAACTATTGCATAATACTCTTAGTAATGAATACTTTATCATTTTAATTGTCCTAAATTTATTGAAAAATGATGGCCATGATGAACACCGGGCAGGTGTGTCATTCTTGTTTTGAGATTCAGTTTTCGGCCCTTTATCCGAGTGGAACAGCAAACTTCCAGTTTGGTAACAGTAGTTCTTACTCCTGAGCTACATCGTAGACAGTCAACACTTGCATACATGGCTGTATGGATTAAAGTGTTCTTTTCATTTTATTCCACACGAATTCACAGTCACACTATATGCGGATTTTTGTCGTTTTGATTTTATTCTCGCTTTAATTTTTCGATTTATTCAAGAACCATTTGGACATATATATATATATATGCAGCCTGTTCATGGTTTTGAAGTACTAATCGAATGTGGTTCCAAATCGTCCATATCATACTATAAAGTCACGCCTAATAGGAACTAATCAATCAAAAAATGTTGATATGTGTGCAGAACTCTGTTTGAACATAGATTTCATGGACAGTTAATTTTTTACAGTTTTCACGGAACTACATTATCAGCCTATCCGCGGTCGACTATTACAGACTTCCAGGGTTAATCAACCATTTGGTGACTTATGTTTTACACAATTCATTAAACAGGCTAGCATGTACACGATTTCTAGCCACAATCATTTGCCCACACGCAGACAAACATGCAGTTAATCTTTCGATCTACTCACTGGTGGTTTCACTACCCCTTTCGCACGCGTCCAGAGTTCCTAAGATTCATTATACAAAACTCTCGACATGTTTTTTACGAACATGTATTAGTATTGCCACAGACTTCAGTGCACTTTATTCTTGCATGGTGAATTTCCCGACAACACACCTGAAAAATGCCAACTTCTTCTCGTGCACTCTCATTGGCCGACGGCTAAAAACAGCCACCTCATGGTAGAATACAATAACAATCTTTACTGCTCATAGCTGAAAACATTACTCGGGAAAGCTTGCAATAGGACTACGGATCTCAATTTTTAATCATTGTAATTCAGTTGACAGTTCGTAGATGGCACACCAGGTTATTCTGTAGTAGCGGAATTTCCTCATCAACGGACACCAAATATTTTGAATAGATCAATCGGTTATCCAGATATGTCTATACTATAACCAAACTTTGGTGACGCATGCCCTAAGTATAATTCCGGGGTCTTTTTCTAGATAAGACTGAACTGTCGTTCACCCTTAAATATTGCTAGGAGAATAAAATCATTCCGAAAACTGATCTATGAATCGGCTATATGTTCCTACCAAGAATTGTAAGCAGTGAACCACTACCCGTATAACTGGTACCCAAAACCATTACAGGTGTCCCAACAGCTGAAACAGAGCCTAGTGGTACGCATGTCATTCTAGATACACATCATTCTGTCATGGTCATCCAAAATGAATTTTTTAAACCATTACTATCATGTCATTCCATTCAGCCTTCGACGTGAAATGAACCGCACCCAAAAGTACTCGATCAGCAATAGGATGTGAAGTAATCCCGGGGTTGTGTTCACATCTCGACAACCGGGCAGCTCATCAGACAGTTTTAAATGTTCCATTTTCCAGTGTGAAATGTATGCTGTGCTGCATTACCCAAGATATTGCTCATATATGATTTAGTTGGAGTGACCGAAGACTAACAATGTGACATGCTTTGAAGTTGGTTAGCGCTGTTTGTGATTTACCTGTTCTGTAGCTATGGTTCTACGCGTGGAAACAGACACTGAATACTTTGAGCATGTTCATCTGTTCACTTCGCATTTTCCAGCAAAGATTCCACTAGGATCGGTAGTTTCCACAGGTTGTTTCTCTACAGAGATTTTGCAGCAGTTGAAACCATTTCTAAATTGGTTTGTTCACTCCAAACTGTGCGTTATTTGATACCGTACTTTCCCTCACTAAACCTCTCCGATTTCAGCTACTGCCCGCCAGTGTAGAGAGTGTTACGCTGCGGATCGGCAACCAATACTCATTTGTTGTAATTACTGACCTATGGCATGCACTTTATGGTCCGAGTTCAGAGAAGGGATGCAAGTGTGTGTGTGCACCAAACTCATTCCACACGAATCAGCCATGTGACCCGAGATAAAATCTTCTTTTCGGATTCGCAGACCAAATATTTGTAAGAGCCCGGTTGTGTACACATTCTCGAAAAAGGTTTCCCTCGAAATGAAGTAGCATTTCGTGAACCGCATGAACTCGGAGACCAGCGC